TGGTGGGAGTTTCCTAGTGGCACAGTGGTTAAGTAATCCACCTGCCGATGCAGGGGACATGTGTTCGAACCCTGGTTCGGGAAGATCCCACATGCCGAGGAGCAACTAAGCCTGTACCCCACAACTACTGAGCCTGTGCTCTAGAGCTCGTGAGCCACAACTACTGAGCCCATGTGCCACAACTACTGAAGCCCGCGCTCCTAGAGCCCATGCTCCGCAACAAGAGAAGCCACCGCAATGAAAAGCACGTGCACTGCAACGAAGAGTAGCCCCCACTCACGGCAACTAGAGAAAGCCTGTGCACAGCAATGAAGACTCAACACAGCCATAAATAAATAAAATTTTTGAAAGAGAGAAGCCCTCAGGTGAAGGAAGGGGTTTACGTCAGGGCGACCTCAAAAATAAAGTAAAAAAAGAAGAGTGGAAATGGTGGTGAGGGTCTGTAAATCCTTACTTTTTCTCTCAGTCCATTCTATAGAAATAGTCTTGTTTTTTTGACAATGAACAACCTTGGCTTAATAGTTGTTCTCCTCCTAGACTCCCAGGCTAGATTAGACTCTATTTTTGCGTTCTTTTATCATCCTGAGCTTATTTGTGAAAAAATATTTGTTAAAAAATATTTATGAAAAAATTACTTTTGTTTTGCTCAGTTGCCCTAGGATAGAATCCAAATGTTTATGGCAGTTTTAAGGATCCTGTGAAACTCCCATTTCCCCCAAGGGTCTGTGTTTAATGGATGTTAAATTCTAAGGCAGCAACTGTGTGGGGTTAATGGAGTAGAGGGAAGAAGGAGTGGTGGAGAAAGGACTTGAGTGCTGTGGTGGAGAGAGAGTGACGGGGTTGGGACAAGAATCTGGAGGAGCAGTAATGGGTGAAAAGAGTCACGGGCAAGGGAAGATGGTGAGGGTAGGTACCAGAGGAGTCCTAGTGGTGTAATCTCAGGAAGTTACTTAAGAGGGACTGATGCCTGAAAAAATCTGGTGTGTGGCTATAACAAAACCCATTTAAAGGGCCGTTGTTGAAATGCACAGGAATAACCTGGGAGGTGGGTCATCACCCACTGTTCTCTCAGCTATTTTTGGAGTGAAACCTCTCATTGGCTCCTTGCACAGCCCTTGGCAACTTTGTTGGTGGGGGAAATGAAGTGATTTTTGAGGACTCATCCCTTAGATCTAGCAGGTCTTGGCATGTCCAACCTCCCTACCCCAAATTCTCAAGATTCTGGTAATTGTAGAAAATAAGGACACTAGAGGAGAAGTGATAAGAAAATTCCCATGGTCTGTTATTACTCTTGTTCTTTTTTTTTTTTTTTTTTTTTTTAAATAATACACAATGTATTTATTTATTTATTTATTTATGGCTGTGTTGGGTCTTCATTTCTGTGCATGGGCTTTCTCTAGTTGTGGCAAGTGGGGGTCACTCTTCATCGCGGTGCGCAGGCCTCTCACTATCGCGGCCTCTGTTGTCGCGGAGCACAGGCTCCAGACGCGCAGGCTCAGTAATTGTGGCTCACGGGCCCAGTTGCTCCATGGCATGTGGGATCTTCCCAGACCAGGGCTCGAACCTGTGTCGTCTGCATTGGCAGGCAGATTCTCAACCACTGCGCCACCAGGGAAGCCCATTACTCTTGTTCTAAATGAACGCATTCATTAACTTATTTGTTTTATGTATCATTCTTTCTCCACTCTTAATTAACTTTTCATCTCGGATGATTGGTTGGATGAAAAGTTAATCAGTATGGTCAACAGCTAAAAATTCTACGAAGATCAGTTAGGTGAAAGTTCAGCAATGTTATTGGAACCCAGTTTATTTTTATTTTTTAAAAACAACAAATTTATTCCCACAGTTTTGAAGGCTGGAAAGTCCAAGATCAAGGTGCTGGCTGATTTGGTTCCCCACTGAGGGCTCTCTTTCACCTTCTTCCTGTGTCTTCACATTTGGGGGGGTGTTGGGGGAAATAGAGAGGAAGCAAGCTCTGTGATGTCTCTTCTTGGCACTAATCCAGTCATGAGGGCCCTCATGACCTTATCTAAACCTGATTATCCCCCAAAGACCCCATCTTCAAATACCATCACATTGGGAGTTAGGGCATCGACATGTGAATTTCTGATTCAGACAAGGTTCTCAGAGTAAATTGATAGAAAACATGGAATTAATGGAGCACACTCTGCTCTACAAATAAAGGTTCATATTGATGAGAGTTACTATTTATTAATTCATTTAACAAATTCTGTATTTGTTGAGCTCCCATGCTGTGCTAGGCAATGTTCTTTGTGCTGGTGATCCAGCAGTCAACAAAAGACAATTCCTGCCCTTTGGAGTTTACATTTTACTGGATAGACAATAGAAAATAATCAAGATAAATAATGTTTATGATATATTAGGTGGTGATAAATGCTTATAGGTGGAAGAGAAGGGAAGAGAAATTGGGAATGTGAATTAGAGGTTGGTTGGAGTATTTGAGAACCTCTCTGAGAAGAAGGCTTGGAACAGAGCCCTGAAGGTGGTGAGGGGCCAGCCATGTAGGTATCTGAATGATGAGCATTGATATTACAGGGACAACAAATATAAAGACTCTAAGTAAGGTAAAGTGTTTAGTTTGTTCAAGAAATAGCAAGGAGGTTAGTGTGGTTAAAGTGCAGTGGATGGGGGAGAGGAGTATGAGATAATTGCAGGGGACAGTATGTAGGGTTGGAAGTGTGGTCTTATAGGCATTGGAAGGACTTGGCCTTTTACTGAGTGAACCAGAAAGGCATTGGAAGGTTTTGAGCTGAGCAGTGATGCAGTCTAATTTGTTTGAACAGCATTACTTTGCCTGCTATGTGAAGAGACAGGTGGAGTGAGGCACAAAGCACTGTTGGATTTAAGTTTAGTAGGGAAGTCAGGATTAGAGGGAGAAATTTAGGAGACATCAGTGTTGAGTTGGGGTGAGATTATCAAGAGAGTTCATTCCCAATTTGCTAGACCTGTGCTAAGCGCTTGACATTGAATTATGCTATTTGTTGACCATATGTAGATACTCTTATTCTATTCTTTGAAGTTGACACTTCTTTTCTGTATTAACATATATGAAATCAGTATGTGTGAATCAATTTATATATGTGCATTTAATATAAATTTTCTTCCAATTCTAGTACAAAACAAGATGCCATTGAATATTTGATGCTTTTTCTTTTTTTAAAATATATTTATTTATTTATTTATTTTTGGCTACGTTGGGTCTTTGTTGTTGCGCAGCTTTCTCTAGTTGCATCAAGGGGGGCTACTCTTTGTTGCGGTGTGCAGGCTTCTCAGTGCGGTTACTTCTTGTTGCAGAGCATGGGCTCTAGGCACACGGGCTTCAATAGTTGTAACATGTGGGCTCAGTAGTTGTGGCTCGCAGGCTCTAGAGCACAGGCTCAGTAGTTGTGGCACACGGGCTTATTTGCTCCGTGGCATGTGGGATCTTCCCGGACCAGGGCTTGAACCCGTGTCCCCTGTGTTGGCAGGCGGATTCTTAACCGCTGCGCCACCAGAGAAGTCCCGATGCTTTTTAAAAAGAGCTGTTACTTCAAGTCTAAGAAATAAGGATTTTTGCCTTTAAGATACAGAAACACATTTAAAAGTTATAAATTTTCCAAAAAAGATGTAGCTGGGCTTCCCTGATGGCGCAGTGGTTGAGAGTCCACCTGCCGATGCAGGGGACACAGGTTTGTGCCCCGGTCCTGGAAGATCCCACATGCCGCGGAGCGGCTGGGCCCGTGAGCCATGGCCGCTGAGCCTGCGCATCCGGAGCCTATGCTCTGCAACGGGAGAGCCCACAACAGTGAGAGGCCCGCGTACCACAAAAAAAAAAAAAAAAAAAAGATGTAGCTGGTTAGAATTCCAGCTTAATCCTCTTTGACTCCAGACCCCATGTTTCTAAACACTGCACAATGGTGCTTTTGTAAAAATACTCATACTTTACATGTGATTTCACCTAGTGATTAGTTGTTGGAGTTTTGGGTTTTCTTTTTTTAATAGGAGAGATCAAAATCAGCATAGGGCAAAGCTATGATTCTAGAGTCGTATAGACTTGTAATCATACGTTTTTAAGCTGTCATTTATCCTCTTTAACTCTCAGTGTCCTTATCTGTAAAATAAGGATGTTTATAAATACCCTAGAGTTTTGGAGAGAAATAAATAACGTATTTTTCTGTACTTAACTGATGTGTAGTATGTTTATACTTAGGTGGCAGTTTATATAAAGGAAGCACTGGGACCTGTGGCCACACCCTTCAAGAATAAAAAAATTTAGAAAATGGAACCACCATGTATGTTATGTGAAGAACAAGAGTCAGAACCACAGAAAAGCATAGAAGAAACCAAACAAGTAGACGATGAAGATGCTGAACTGATTTTTGTTGGGGTGGAACATGTAAATGAAGATGCTGAGCTGATCTTTGTTGGGATGACCTCAAATTCAAAACCAGTCGTTTCAAACATATTGAACAGAGTTACCCCAGGTTCGTGTTCAAGGAGAAAACAGTCTGGTCACATCAGAAAAGGTAATGCTCACAAATTGCGGCCTGTAAGTCATGTGATGCCTACATCAGAAGCAATGACTGTCTTACCAGTTTCTGACTCTGAATCAAGATCAACAGATAGTCCTATTATTATTGAGCCTTTGTCTAAACCTGATTATAAAAATAATTTACTACAAGTCGTGCCTGTTAGCTCTCCAGAGTTACGTTCTCCTCCTTTGATTACCTTCACAAGTTCATTGCAGCATCCAGTAGGAGCAGCACTTTCTACAGGAGGTATGAATAAAAGTCCTCGTGTAACAAAACGACTTTCCACTTCTGAAACAAATAGCACAAATCCCCAAAGGCCTAAACTCAGTAATGGAATCATAGGGGGACACTCTTTAGCTCTGGCCCCTTCAGGTATCTTTCATACAATGACAGCTCAGCAAAGCACACCCTCAGACAGTGTTCATACCTCATTAAGCCATGTTCAGAATGGAGAACCTTGTCCAACAGCTTTTCCAAAGGGCAGTGTTCATTGCAAGCCTATAAGTCCTTTTGGGGAAAATGGACTGGCAAAAACAGACTTTTTGAGTCTAACAAGTCAAAACAAGACTGTTGATCCCACGGAAGGAAATCTGATCGTGTTACTTCATGACTTTTACTATGGACAGCATACAGGAGATGGGCAGCCAGAACAGAAGACTCACACAGCGTTTAAATGCCTCAGCTGCTTGAAAGTTCTAAAAAATGTCAAGTTTATGAATCACATGAAGCACCATTTGGAACTTGAAAAACAGAGGGGTGACAGCTGGAAAAACCATACTACCTGCCAGCACTGCCACCGCCAGTTTCCCACTCCCTTCCAGCTGCAGTGTCACATTGAAAGTGTCCATACTTTCCAGGAGCCCTCTGCAGTCTGTAAAATCTGTGAGTTGTCTTTTGAAACAGATCAGGTTCTCTTACAGCACATGAAGGACAATCATAAGCCTGGCGAAATGCCCTACGTGTGCCAGGTCTGCAATTACAGATCGTCAGCCTTTGCTGATGTAGAAACACATTTCAGAACATACCACAAAAACACTAAGAATTTGCTTTGCCCATTTTGTCTCAAAATTTTCAAAACTGCAACACCATACATGTGTCATTATAGAGGACACTGGGAAAAGAATGTTCACCAGTGTTCCAAATGCCGGCTACAGTTTTTAACTTTCAAGGAGAAAATGGAGCACAAGACCCAGTGTCATCAAATGTTTAAGAAGCCTAAGCAACTAGAAGGATTGCCTCCTGAAACAAAAGTTGTTATCCAAGTGTCACTGGGACCTCTTAAACCAGGGTCAGTGGAATTAGCATCCATTACTGTGAACACATCTGATTCTGAACCTTCACCCCCCAGGTCTAAAAGCAGAATTTCAAAACAAACCCATTAATTCTACTTTCAGTAAATCTGAAGCACATACTTCAAAGTTAAAAACCCCACTAAAAACAAAAAATCCAAATCATAACATTATTCAATAACATCAAATATAGTGAAACCCAATGGATCATTTATGAGGTTTTTCTAAAAACTTATGAAGTACAATATTGTTTCATCTGAATTTTGAGATATTATTAAAAAATATATTACCTGATTTTCATATAACTGGCTTAACACATAAAAGGTGTGTGTGTGTGTGTGTGTGTGTGTGTGTGTGTGTGTGTGTGTGAGGGGGGAAGAGAGAGAAAAAGTGAAAACCTATTATTTTGGTATTTCGTGTTATTTGTAAGTTTGAAAGCTCTGCTATACATATAATCTGTAGAATTTTTTAACAACTTAATTTTATTTTCAACTTTTTCCATGCCTTGAAGATTTCAATATTAACTATAGCCAGACTGAAATGGCTTTGTTATGGCGTGGTCCCGTTTGCTGCTGAACTCTCAGAAGTGCCTCTGTTGTGCTGATCTAAAATAACCTGGCTCTGAAAGCCTTGGTGTGGAGAAGTTGACAGAGACCCTGTGGTGTGAATGGGGACCAGAAACAGGGAATTCAGTCAATGGAGAGCAGTGGCTCCTTGTCCCAGTTGAGGAAGGGGCACACATTCACTCCAGGCTTGGAGTCAAGGCAGAAGGAACACTGTCTCAGACTGTCTTTACCTAGCCCAAGGACATCCAAGGAAGCCAAACCATTAAAATAAAATGCCTATGTTTAGTGAGGGGCCCCTGAAGGCATCAAGCAGGTACTGTGTATCATTGGCTTCAGATGGGGAAGTAGAGATAATTAATAGAATGGGACCTGCTGCCAGGGGACCTCCTTTTGACCGATCAAAAGGGGAACTTGATTTGTTCTCTCACCTCTCCCGTCTGGCTGGCCTTTAGTCAGAATGAACTAACCATATCTCTCTCAGTCACAGCAGTAAAGCAAGTTAAGGTTCCCAAGGAAAAAAGTCCCTGACATCCATAGTTTGACCTGTACTGGACCCATAGTTTTAACTGAAAAGGGCCAAACACATGGAATCTGTCCAGTTTATGAATTGAGCTAAGTTTAGTTCTCTTACCCTTAAGCTGGAATGGGGTTGTCCAAGAAAAGTAGGAATAGTGGATAAAAATAGTTAAGAGTAATTAAACCCATTATAGGACTTTTCCTAACATTTCCAATTACATATGTCTTACCCTAATTGAACATGTGAAGTTTGCAATTTTGTATCTTGCCTTGGACATGAATGTATTACAGTTAATTCTTTGTGTGTATAATTTCCCATTTTTTCAAACTAATACTGAGTTTGGGTCTTACTTGACACACTCCAATGTGCCAGAAATGTCTCATTTATTTCAGTAATTATCAGGTCATAGGGTTATTATCCTTCATTTGATCTATCAACTGTCTAATCTGTGATTATACTTGCCGGAACCTTTTTCCTTGCCGTCTCCAAGGGCTCTTTCACAGAACTGGGGTACCCTTTAAGTATTGGTTCCTGAACATCAGCAGCCTTGGTTGCCTCTGTGGGCTCCTGGAGTTGAGTCTCCCTAGGCATGTTTTAGTGCCATCCCTTCTCGCTCCACCTCCAGCCCAGGTACCTAGCAGCTTCTGTGCACCACTCAAGGAATCTGGGATCCTGGCTGTAGACCTGTTCCAGGAGAAATCTCTCCCTTTTTCTGTTGCTTTCTCCTCCTCTATTTAAGGGTACTTTATCTCTCCCCACTCCTTTTGCCCCCTCCTCAATCTAGTTAAATTTTCTAAGCCTTCACAAAATGCTGGAAAGGTATAATCATCAGGGGGTTAGCATCCCTCTTAGAATTGAGGAGGAAGGACTACAGATAACAAAGTTGTTGTGAGTATATCATCCATATTTTAATTTCCTGAGTGTAGATTCTGTTGTATTTATTTGTTCAATGCTTGATTGATTGATTTGCACTTTGAATATTTTACTAGGCCTTTCCAGTTAGTTTGCTTGGGCCAAAGCACTTTGGTAAAATTTCAGCTTGAACCCCTTTCTTTAGGTGTAGAAAAAGTGAGAGAGAGAGAGAGAGAGAGAGAGAGAGAGAGAGAGTGTGTGTGTGTGTGTGTGTGTGTGCTGGTCTCAGGTGGAAACTTCTATATATAAATAGATGTGCAGACTTTTGCATACTTATCTCCCTTATTCTGTTTCTGTGGTAAAAATATGAAATGTTTTAGTTCTTTGTGTTTGTGGTTGCTCACTGTTATCAACCCTGTTACTGTTGTTTGCTCTAAAGTATGCTCCTAAGGAGTACAAGTTGTTATTTATTGCCAACTAAGGTTCCAGTGATATGGCCCCTGACTACCTCCTCTCTTCCATTCTCTGTCGTGCTACTCTGCCATTTTCCCCACTGGTGCACTATTTTTGATACACTGGCCTTGCTTTTCCTCAAGCAAATTCCATTTCTTCTCGATCCAAAGACTTGTAACTGCTGTTCTCCTTCTTGGAATGCTCTTCCCCTAGGCCTGCATGGCTTGCTACCTCGCTTAATTGTTTGACACTTCCTTTGGTATATTGAGCTTCACCAGTGTTGTTAAAATCACACAGTGAAGTCTCCAACCCACCCCCCTTTTTTTCCTCCTCTTAAACGCACTTTAAGTCTCCACACTCTTCTTCCCTATCAGTCTAAATTTCCTAGGTTTTCACGAAAAGCTGGGAAGAGATAATTATCAAGGGCTTTGCTTCTCTCTTAGAATTGAGTTTGCTTGAGTCAGTTTCTGTGCCTGCAAATAGAAGACAATTAATAGTGAGTTGAGTTCTTTCAAGAGCTTTCTCTGTTTTTCTATTGATACCTCTATATTTTTTTAAGGAATGTCACTTTGTTTTGTTTACAAATATATTGAATATCTGTCAAGATTACTATTTTGTTATTGCCCTTTGTGAATTTCCTTGTCTATTTTGCTTGTTCTTTCAGATAAAATTTATTATTTTATTAATGTTGCCAAAAATTGTAAGTAAAATTAGCAATTATAGAAATAAAATGTTTTTTTGAAAAAGTGTTTTCACTATGTTGTCTTTTCACCAGTAACATGGCATATTTTTAGTTTTATTTGTAATCTTATTGCATTGGCCAGGACTTCTAAACAATGATGTGTAAATGGGCTTTCTTCTTCTTGGTTTAATTAGAAATGCTTTACCATCAGAGGTAATGAGTATATGGCTTAATGAATTTCTATTTCTATCTTTAAAATTTAAAGAGAATTGTTTTATTGGATAGTTTACAACATCCGTTGAGACAGTCATTTTCCTTCCTTCCTTCCTTCCCTCCCCTCCCGTCCCCTTCCCTTCCCTTCCGTTCTTTTCCTTCCCTTCCTTTCCTTTCTTTCCTTCCCTTTCTTTCCTTTCTTTCACTAACCCAAGGTTTTGCTTGGCTGGATTCACAACTTTTCTATTAGAAACCTTCCTTTCGTGAAACAAAAATAATTCCACTTGGGGTTGAATATTATCCTCTCAGAATCTCATTCCATTTCTCATTTCTAGTATTGGAATTAATTTCCTCTTCCCCTTACTAGATTTGCCACAGTTTTATCAATGTTTCTGATTTACTTTTTCCAAGAAGCCACCCTTGCTTTATTATCCCAACAAGTTTTATCTGTAATCTGTTTTTGTCTCAATTCATTATATACCTTCTACTTTCTTTATGATTGTTTTTTTTATAACCTTGTATTTTAAAAGCTTTCTTTTTTTTTAAAAAAAAATTTTTATGAAAACTGATTTACAATGTTGTGTTAGTTCCAGGTGTACATCAGAGTGATTCAGTTATGCATATATATCCTTTTTTAGTTTTCCATTATAGGTTATTATAAGATATTGAGTATTTTTTAATTTAATAAAGGATTAGGACTTTACCTACCTTTATTTAAATAACAGTTTTGTCTGAATCCCAAATATTTTGATGCATATATATATTTTTTTATTAAAATTTTCATTCTCTACATTTTTTTGTAAGTTAATTCCAAAGATTTCAGAATTTGCAGGCTGAATGTTTTAGTCTTAATTTATAGTTTACTGAGAATTAAGTTTTCCTTGGAGCTCTGAGAGTTTGTGTGTATGTACACTGACATGTCTATATACACATTGTTTTCAGATTACTACATGGGTTATTTTTTAAAAAGATATTTTCTGTTTGGTAAAAACGTGAAATGTTTTAATTCTAGAAATCTATTCCCCCAAATGAATATAGTATAAAAGGTAAAGGCATGAAAATATTCATTTGAGAGTAATTCCTAGTAACAAAACTTGGAAATGTTAAAAATTATTCATAACACCTATGAAAGGTGGTAAGAAAACCTTTATTTAAGGGAAGACTACTACAATGGGGTTTTGTAATAGGGGAGAGAGATTGAGCTTAACTCTGATTCCTGCAAGGACAAAGGTGGGACTTATAGCCAAGGATCAGGGTGGGTGTCAGTGCATGGAAACTTACTGAGAGGAAGCATCAGCGGTAAGGGTGGATTCTAGCTAAATCCACTGATGGGATCATTGCTGAGGCCAGGCCAGGGTGATGAGATATTTAGGTGAGGGGAGAGGAATTTGATCTGATATCAAGGGTGATCAGATCAAGGGTGGGGGATTTTTCCTGGACTAACTCAGCAGGATTCTTGCTAAAATTGGACTAAACGGGCAGAGCCCCTGGATAAAGACATAGCCCAAAGTTGGCAGTGTATTAATTAACTATTGGTGCATAACAGATTACCACAAAACTAACAGCTTAAAAAATATTATCTCACGACT